ACTTGATCAACTCTTCACAGTATGGATGCACTCACCGGAGAATAAATACCCAACTCCACATCACAAAATTCATAAAAATGTTGACATAATCAAGAAACTCTGGCTGTGTAAGGGTGTTCTGGACTTGGTCTCTGCGCGGTGTTACACGCCATACAACCAATGACTACAACATTAAGTCCTCTACAAGAATATCATCTTCCCCTAACTTAAAGCGTCTATACCGTAAAGATTAATCAGAATTCCTCTTATGGCACAATAAACATAATTCTCATGGTAATTTTTTAGTTCACCCAGTGCAATTATTATTCCTTTTTCACATATGATATAGATAAAATCAATGGTATTGGGAGCACAAGCCTGAGACATTTGCTATTACTGCCGCTAATTCTAGGAAATCCACGAAAGTTGCCATAGACCAAAAATCCTCCCAAATCAGGGCCCCAGCCCCCCACCCAATCACCATATCCAGCCCCAACCCAGTCACTGTGGGCTTATTCAACATAAAACATTATTTGCAAACTATTTTTCATATCTGAGGTTATTTTTTGTGTATGCAGAATATTTCGGCTATCAGTAAGTACAGTTTTTCCTTTTCTTTAAAATAAAGAGATTACATTTTCCTGTAAAGGTATACTTAAATATTTCCTGTTGTACAACTCTTATTATCATCTTGAAAGGGAAATACCGTAGATTAAAACTGTCATTTTCTGTCATTCTATTCATTACAAGCAAAGTTTCCCTTTACCAATGTGGCCGTGTGAAACTGAACCTATACCATTTTCATTGATTCCAGCTAAAAAGATACCTTGGAATAGTTTTCAGCTTTATATCTTAGAAACAAAAATAAATTACAAATTAAGTGTCAAATTTTACATTCCATACAGGTTGTCAGGTGTTAATGATGTACTGTAATACTTAAATTTCAAACATGATAGTAATGAAAGGTCCAATGAACATATATGAAAGATTTGCCACTGCAGATAAAGGTAATTGTTGAAGACCGCGACGCACCCTCGCAGAGACTAAGTCGAAAAAAAATGATGTTTTTCTGCATGAAATCCTATGATTTCATCGATTTTCGGCGCTGTTTCTTTTGCGAATGAATCGTTCAGGAGATCGAGTACCATTTCTCCATCGACGATCTTGATTTGATAGTCCCGTTAGCAGGGGAGGGCATGAAGTATATCAGGGAAATTATGGGGTAAAACAAGCTTAAATAAGAAGAATAACGATCAAAAATGCGTAAAACTAGCACAAAAAGCGCTTAAAATCGGCCAATGAAACTCTACGGATGTAACCGCCATCTTTGAAAGTTTACGGACTGACGCGAAATAAATCAAAAACTCTACGGGAACCCAACCCACATTTCGGCAAAAAAAATCTACGGGAATTCACACGTTCCAACCCCCAAAACGTATTGACCAATAAACCAACCAACCTAATATATCAATATAAATTGCCGTTAGGCGTGGGCGTGCCCTTCGGCACTGCCCGAGGGAGGGTTGATGGGGGCAAGCCCCCAACACCCCCCAGGACACATTCTCTCCACCACTGTATGTACGGCAAGACAGAGCTGCATTCACACCGTAAAATAATAAACCAAATACCTTTATATCCGGAAACGAGAAACTTTCGTCTCTGTACTGTTGGGATTGCTTCGATTTTAATCACCTTTTTCGTCCTTTGGAGCTCTTGATGGGCTCAGATATAAAACTGGGATGGTTACTGAAGTCGAATTATTCTTCGATGCCACTGTAAAGGTCTTAAAAAGAACCCAGAATCAACACAACACTGGAAACGCAACATTTCTCACCGGCTTTCAATCTCGAAATGAGCGGGTTGGTGAGCTGTCAACCTGTGGCTGGCGCAAGAAAGTGTGAAACACTCGATGCGCAGGATTCGATATGAGGGTATAGATAAATATAAAAATATGCAATTGAAGTATAATAACATTACTAAAAGACTTTAAAGGTATAAATGCGTACCAGCAGACACAGATAATTAGCCAAATATCGTTTTGAAAAGCGCGTAATGATACACGGACTAGTTCGCGAACGCAAAAATGCGTTCGTGGGTCAGTGTCGTGTTTTTCCTCGCAAGGTAAACAAGCTCATCGACTTTGAATTTGAAAGGCGGCCGCGCGTTATATTTTCGTCATTTAGCGGTGACTATAAGGCCGGTGCATCTTAAACTATACGCTATCCCCTTCTATTTTTCCCGCTCTATAAGATGGCGGTGTCCATTTTCCTCTATCTACGCGCGTCGCGGTCTTCAACCTCTACCCAGATAAATATAATTTGGCATTAAAGATTTTGAAAGTTGAATCATATAATAGACTTAAGGAATAAATAACAGATAATTCTATCTGGTCATGTAAATCATTCTAATTATGTTTTATCAATGATAAATTAATCTGATTATACCTCATTACTTCATTCACCTCTATTCATTAAGTTATGAAAGCAGTCATAAACTCTAAATATCTCTTCATAGATGTTTA